TGTGGAGGGGGTCTAGTTTAATTTATAATACTTCTGCAAGACAAAGTAAAGTACAATTTTCCCAGCAAGAGATGAATTTCAGGTAGAGCATGAAATAGTCAAGTGTGCCCAGGACTCTACCAATAAATAAAACCATTAAATAGTACCATAGTTTAAAAAACAAGGTGTAACTGTGAACAAAAGATCCCAGAAAAACTGCATCTTGAAACTGAACATTCTACAAAGGTTGATCAACTAACTAGAACTTCAGTGACTGTGCAGTAAGGAATGTTGCAGGTCCAGAGGTTAATTACCATTTATCTTAGGCTATCTTTAGCCCCCTAAACAGCCACTCCTTGCCCACCTTTGTTTCTGACTTAACATCCCATGACTAACAGATGAAAACCTTTGGGAATGTATTATAACAGATTATGAGCTTCCACCAACCAAAAGACTGCCATCAGATAGTATCTGAGACCTATAACAGATTTCTCTTTTGCTGTATCTGCCTACTTAATGTTTCCACCACTGTATTTGAAAAGTGTCCTGGATTTATGAATTTTCTGTGTTCTCTTACTATAAAAATTTCATGCAAGTGCTACCATGTTGGAACATGGAATTTGGGGGTAAACCGAATCTGTGTTCCCGAGCCATGGTCACTCATATTTGGCTCCAGAATAAATTATCTCCCCTTTGAGGTGAGAATTATGCTTTTGTGTCAACATAACAAATTTATAAATTGGGGGGATTAAAGGTAGAGTATGAGGCCCAAGGTTCCTGTTCATAGTACATGCACCTGTACATACACACACACACACACACACACCTCTATATATTTTTATAGGATTTTTAGGATGCTCAAATCTCTTGTGATTGTCCCAAGTAAGTAACTGGAGAGGTAGGCTATTATTAAAACTCACATATAATGATTTCTGTAAACTGACATTTCTGGAAACATCAAGTACCAATTGCTATGGTTTCAGTGTTTGTAAGGTATCCCTCCAAAATTCAGATGTTAAAATCTTAACCCCAGTTAATGAGATGGGGGGTGTTTAGGCCATGTTGTTGCAGAGTCTTCATGAATGAGATTAGTGCCCTTCTACCAGACCCCAAAAACATATTGTTTCCCTCTGGCATGTGAGGACAAGAGCGAATGTACTGTCTATAAAGCAGAAGTTGCCCTCACCGGACATCAGGTCTGTCAGTGCTTTGATCTTAGATTTCCCAACTTATAGAAATGTGAGAAATAAATTTCTTTTGTTCATAAACACCAGTTTATGGACTTTTATTCTATCAGGTTAAGGAACCAGGACATCAGGCTCTCACTATTGCTCACGACACAGGTGTTTTGCACTATGCACACAAGAAGTCCATGATGTGAATTATTGAGACTTTTTAATGGATTTCACACTAGCTTCACATGTGGCTACATCAATTAACAGATCCAGTCTAGTCTCGTATATAATGGCCAGCAAGATGGCTCAGTAGGTAACCTTGCCACCAAGGTTAACTACCTGAGTTTGTTCCCTGGAACCTACAAGGTGGAAGGAGAAAACCAAAGCCCACAAATTGACCTTTGACCTCCATATGTCTATGGCATGCACACATGTACACAAGCACACAAAAATAAATAAATGTAAACAAATTTTAAGGGTGAGATAGCTCAACAGGTAAAGGTACTTGAAAGTGAGCCTGAGTTCAATACTCATGGTAGAAGGAAAGAACGGACACCTACAAGGTGTCCTCTGACCTCCATGCACTTGCCATGGCACACTCTCTCTCACACACACAATAAATAATAAATAAATAAACAAATAATAAATAAACAAGCAAGCAATTTACAACAATTTAAAAAATAAAATTGATGGCCTTATAAGGCATAAAAATATCCCCTTCTCAAAGCTGTTCTCACAACCTTCTGTCCCATGTTCAGTAACTCACAGGAAATAGCAGAGACACTATAAATAGCATATCTAGACACCTGGTAAATTAAGGGCAGAAGAGAGAATAGAACCCAAGACTCCAATCTCCCAGTTCAAGGCCATTATTGCTTAAGCATACAATAACAGTGAATCAAACGATTCACAAAGCCAACGGTAAACTGGGAGTTCACAGTGATGCAGCTAAGGAAAAACAACTAGATCCTTGTCTCTAACTAGCTTTTTACAGTGTGCTAAAACATTCCCAGAGAGCCCTGAACTAGCAAAAGAAATGAGTGTTCTCTAACCATAATGTGCATACAGTCAGAGAAAAACCTTATGTTTCAAAGGAAAGGCAACCAAAACAACAACACACAAATATCATTTCAGAGCCTCTAATAATAAAGGCCTAAAAATCTAGATTTCCACAAGTTTATTAAGAAAAGTCTGTGGTCAAATTTATTTAATTTAAACCATCTCTGACCAAAACGGCAACTTCAAAAAAGATAAGCCTGGGGTTGGAGAGATGGCTCAGCAGTTAAGAGCAGGTACCGCTCATCTAGAGGACCTGAGTTCAGATCCAGCACCCTCATCAGGCAGCTCACAACACCTGGACCTCTACTTCCAGAGGGATCTGATGCCTCACCTGCACATACGCACACACATAATTAAAAATAAATCTTTAAAACTATTTTTTAAATGCCACACACAAAAATGTAAAAAATAGTGTTGACCTTTAGAATCAATATCTGCCCTGAATTCTAAGACAAATAGTCACTTCATGAGACAAATAGCCTTCACAATTCTTTTAGAAATAAAGCTTAAAATTAAATTTAATAGCCAGGCATGGTGTCTCACACCTTTAATTCCAGCACTCTGGAGGCAGAGGCAGGTTAGGTCTTTGTAAGATCAAGGTAAATTTGGTCTACACAGTGAGTTCCAGGCCAACTGTGGCTATAGGGAGACCCTGTCTCAAAAAGACCAAAAAAATTAAATCTAATAAATTCAGAATTGTTATTTTATTATATTACCTATGGTTTTCTCCTTTCTTATAATCACTTAATGGTTCAGAGAACCTAGTTTTCGCACCAAAAAACAAAATAACAATTTTGACTCTGTCAATTTTCTTTAAAATTTTTTATATATTTTTTTAATATTTTAGTTATTGGTTTTATATTATGTGTATGAGTGGTTTTGCCTGCATGTAAGTGCACCACATGTGTGCAGTGCCCACAAAGGTCAGAAGCAGGCATCAAATTTCCTGGAACTGGAATTACAAACCATTATTAGCTGTCATATGGGTGCTGGGAACCAAACCTAGGTTCCCTGAAAGAAGTGGGTGCTGGGAACCGAACCTCGGTTCCCTGAAAGAAGTGGGTGCTGGGAACCGAACCTCGGTTCCCTGAAAGAAGTGGGTGCTGGGAACCGAACCTAGGTTCCCTGAAAGAAGTGCTCTTAACTACTGAGCTATGTCTTCAGCCCCATGTATTTACTAGGGGGAAGCACACAGACCACTGTAAACATGTAGAGGTCAGAGGATAACTTAACTTGTAGGAGTTAGTTCTTTCCTTCTAGTATGGAGTCGCAGGGACTGAACTCAAGTATCAGGCTCAGTTGCAAACACCTTTACCTGCTAAGCCATCTCATCAGCTCCTATGTCAACTCTCTAAATACAAACAATATTCTAATATCCTTGCTAATAATAGAGCCACCATTTATTGAGGGCCACTAGCTTTATATATATTATCTCATTTAGTCTTCAAAATAAAACTTTAAAAAAATTGGTTGAGTCAGTCACCCAGCCACTCAGTGGCAGAATCTGAACCTGAATTAAAAAATAATAGTCTCACTGGGCGTGGTGGCGCCTTTAATCCCAGCACTTGGGAGGCAGAGGCAGGTGGATCTCTGTGAGTTAAAGGCCAGCCTAGTCTACAAAGCAAGTTCCAGGCTAACTGGGGCTACAGGGAGACCCTGTCTCAAAGAGACCAAAAAAAAAAAAAATGGCTCTCTTCTATTTCCAAAATAGAAGGGGGTATGTTCCAAAGCTCCAGGGAATACCTGATACCACCACCTCGACATATACTGGGTTTTCTTATATACATAACTTTAATAAAACTTATAAATTGAGCAATGTAAGAAATAATTTATAATAATCTAACAATATGCTGTAATGAAAGTTACGTGAACATGGGGTTTCTCCCTCACTTTGTCCAGACATTGTAAGTTTACTGAATTCATCTTCTAAGCTCGTAGTTGACCGTGGGCAACTGAAACTTTGGAAGGTGAGAACACAGATTATGAGGACAGCTGAACCTCTGAGACATTTCCAGTCACTGTATCACTGCAATCTTAAGATATCTTCAAGTCAATGAAGCATCAAAACTGACCTAGAATTTGTAAAGTACTGAGCCCAAGAGAACTCAAGAATATTCAGCAGTATTTTGCAGTCGCATTCTGACATTTGCAGAAATATACAAACCTGTGAGCAAGTCCTGGTAAGTGTAAAAAAAATAACGCTTTCACCTTGACATCATTCTTTGTAAAGTACACGGGCCTCTTAATCTTTCTAGGAGTCTGACAGAAATCATGGATCTTCTTTCCAAAGTTCACGTAAAATTTCATCCCAGGAGCTAGAAAAATGGCTCAGCTATTAAGGGCACTGACAGTTCTTGCAGAAGACTTAGGTTGGGATCTCAGTACCCACAAAAGGCAGCTCACAACTGCCTGCAACTCTAGTTCCAGGGAATCCATCTCTCTTTTCGGGCCTCTGAGGGTACCTGCATGTACATGGTGCAAATATACTCACATAGGCACACAAAAAAAATAAAGAAAAAATATATAAATCAAATTTTTTTAATTAAAAAAATTGCCCTAATATAGAAGGCTCAAACTCCTAGAGCACCCAACTATATATCCTTTTCAAATCTCCTACTTCATTCAGCTGAGAATCTACAGAATGAGGTTTTTAAAAAAGTGTGAAATAGTCAAATATAAGCATAATTGGTCATGCAAATCATCCTAATTTCAGTGCTAACAGATCTGCTGCAAAGAACCAGCAGAAGAAATGAAAGTAGGTTAGGGTGCCACCACTAGCACACTTACCGTTTTCCTGTGCAATTTTTGTTGTTTAGGCCACCGACCTTGTTTATGGCAGACCAGGCTGTGAGAGCCACATATGGCAAAGAGGCAGCTTGAGTATGAGTAAGCGACCTGGGCTTGTGAGAGACCTACATTGGAAGACAGTGGTCAAAAATAAGCAGGAACTTGCAAACGTACAAACACAACTAAGCACATCTACATTCACTAGAAACCAAGTAATTTCACAGACAAATGCATAAGACATCCAGGTTCAGTGTTTACTGCATATTCTATTCCAAGGTTAGTCCTAAAAATATTCTCCAAATAGCACTTTACCTACATTATTCAGGTCAGTGATATTCGTAGGCAGCATATTAGATACAGGCTACTTCGCTATCTTTTTAAAAGACTGCACATAATGACCCCATTTGTCCTAACAATAACCAGAGACAAATTCAAATACACCTTGAATCCTGATAAACACGTTCTATTTGTTTTGGGAATCAAGTGCTTCCTTTCCTGTTATTTTCTGTAAAGCAATATTTCTAGGCTTTTTTCAACTCTAGTAATACTCCTAATTCTCATTCCAGTCTCCCTTCTGTAGCCCAGTACCTCAGTGTTAACCCCTTTCTTTAAATTGTTAGTGTCCTTACTATATTTGATTAGGCTCCTAATCTTTAAAACTGTTCAGAACAGTCTGACATTTCTACGTCTTTTGTTTGGGTTTATTAGGTTTATACTAGGAAGAACCAAAAAACACAGCAAAGTTCTAGATCTCATCCAAATCTCTGCTCCATGAGACAAAGATGACTGCTCTAGCAGGCAGTGCTAATAAATGTCAACAAATTTTCCTATTCTCCATTTTAGCACTCTTAAACTTGCTATAAAACGTGAACCCAGCCTGAAAAACTGCTAATTACTTTAGAGCTGTCTGTCGGTCTTTCTTACACCTGTGCATGCCAGCAGACACCATGCATTACCTCATTCCCACTGACTACAACAAACTCCGAGAGAGTGCCTTGTTTCCAAGGAGGAACTGCAGCCCAGACCTGAAACACACATAGATACACTTTCATTGAAGAGAAACGTTCTGACCAAAGCCAATCATAAAGGTATTCCCTCATATACGTCCACCCTGTAGGGGAAAAACGACAACAGCAACAACAAACCCCTCCAGTAAATAATACACAGGGCAAGAAGTCAACTTTCACATGATATAAATCTACTTACTACTTTGTATGAGTCCAGGTTTATCAATTCAAACCACACTGGAAGTACACACCCTGCTATAGTCAATAATTTTCTGGGGCTTGAATCTTGGCTCTACCATTTATGAGCTGGGACCTTTTCTTTTCTTTCTTTTCTGTTTTCTTTTCTTTTCTTTCTTTTTTTTTCTTTTTCAGACAGAATCTGATCCTGTAGCCCAGGCTGACCTCAAACTCGCAATCCTGTCATCTGAGCCTCCTTAGAGCTAGGATCACAGGTGTATGTCACTACAGCTAGTGAGCTGTGGGACTTCCTACAGCATGGCTTCTTCCAGTGTAAACTGAGCCCAGCTATGCCTAACTTAGAGGGTTTGGCTGCTTTTTGAAAAGGAACCAAAAAATTGCTATTATTATGATGCTCACTACCATCTCTTGGAATAAACATCCAAAGTGAGAACTCAGGCTGGAGAGGCGGCTCAGCACTTAAAAGCACTGGCTGCTCTTTCAGAGGACCCAGGCTCAGTTCCCAACACCCCACATGGCAGCTAACAATCGTCTGTAACTCCAGTTCCAGGGATCTGACACCGTCTTCTGACCTCCACGAGCACTGCGCAACATGGGTGCACTTACATACATGGAGGTAATACACTCGTACACAAAAAATAAATATAATAAATAAAAATATTTATAAAAGCATTTAAAAAAACAAAGTGAGAAATAACAGAAGATTATACCAAAGTTTAGCTATTTCAAAACCAGTTAATTCAAAATGTAGAAATTTTAGTCATTTAAAGACTCAAGAAAAATAAAGTAGTTCTAATTCTACATATTTAAAAGTCTTGCAATTCTAAGCACTAAATTTAAAAAACTCAAGTACAATCTGAACATGGTGGCTTATGCATGTAGCCACAGCACTCAGGGGGTAGAGGCACTGTCTTGCGTTCCAAGTCATCTGAGCTACACCGTAAAACCCTGTCTCGAAAAAATAAAAGTAACAACTAAATCAAGAAATGAGTGTTCTGGCCAAAAGTCAGTCAGTACATTTACTGAAAAGAAAAATGCTCAGTGGTATAGAATATTCTTCTAAAAGAAGCACGATGAGCCAGGTTTGGTGGCATACACCTGTAATCCCAGCACTTGGGAGATGGACACAGGAGGATCAGGAGCTTAAGGTCATCCTCAGCTACACAGCAAGTTGGAGATCAGTTATATGATACCCACTCTAAAAAAAAAAACACATTTTCAAAAATAGGATGAAAATTCTGCTGGACATGGTGGCATATGCCTTTAATCCCAGCATTCAGGAGGCAGAGGCAGGTGGACCTCTGTGAGTTTGAGGCCAGCCTGGTCTACATAGTGAGCTCCAGGCCAGCTGGGCTACAGGGAGACCCTGTCTCAAAAGGACCAAAAAAAAAAAAAGATGAAAATTGCATATTTAGGAAAGAAATAAAGAGTAAGAACCGGGCATAATGGCACATGCCTGTAAACCCGGCACTTGGGAAGTAGAGGCAGCAGGACCAGAAGTTCAAGATCATCCTCGCCTATATTGTAAGCTGGAGGCTAGTCTGGGTTACATGAGACCCTGTTCAAAAGACTTTTTAAAAAAGCAAGAAAAGATTAGAGAAGAGAAACACGGATCAAAAGGATTAACTCACCTCATCTCCGGGTTTGAAATACTTGACATCAAGCCCACACTCCATCACCACACCAGAGACATCCCGACCCAAAGTCAGTGGAAATTCTTCTCCTTTGGTTTTTATATGCAAAGGATCACGCTTCATATTTAAAGCTGTTGCTCCATAACCACCTATAAAACACAATTTCTGTTTCTTTAAAAAAAAAGAAAAAGAATCAAGTCAGGCATGGTAGCACATGCCTTTAATCCCAGTACTTGGGAGGCAGAGGCATGAGGATCTCTGTGAGTTCAAGGCCAGCCTGGTCTACATAGTGAGTTCCAGGACAGCAGGGGCTACAGGGAGACCCTGTCTCAAAAAGACCAAAAAAAAAAAAATCAAAAAACAAAGAATCAAAATGATTTTTAAAATACTACAAGAGTACAGGCAGGTCAATGTTGGATTCTTAACAAAGATTATAAAGCAACCACATTTTTAAAAAATATATATATTATTATTTTATGTGTATGAGTGTAAGTATGTAAGGGCACCTGGGTCATGCAATGCCTACAGAGGTCAGAAGAGAAGAGAACATTGGATTCCCTGGAATGGTGGTATTGATAGTTGTTAGCTGCCGTGTTGGGAGCTGGGAACAGAACCCAGGTCGTCTGCAAGACCAGTCAGTGCTCTTAACTGATGAGCCATCTCTTCAGCCCCTAACTTCATAATTTTTGCCACCACACAATAAAGCATAAAAAGTTATTCTATTCAAAGAAAATTAATTAGACAGCCACAATCACTTATTAAACTAATACCACAAATGCTCAAAATCTCTTTAAAACTCAGATTGTGAAACTGTCTTCAGGACTTTCGGTATCTTTTTCAATATACTTTGCTCTTTGAAGGTGTTATTAGTTAATAAATATCTTTATTTACAAACATATTTTTAGACAGGGCCTTTCTATGTAGCCTAGGCTAGTTTTGAACTCATGATTTTCTATCTCAGTCTAAGTGCTGGGATTATAGGTATGTGTCACCACATTTGGCTCATTCTTGAATATTTTAAGCAACAAAGGCACTTAATGCCACGTCTGGTAAAAAAAAAAAAAAAGTCAAATGTTAAGGCTCTTAAATATTAACAAACAAGGCATGCATATTAAAGTACTTGATACTAGCACTTGTCTGAGTAATATTCCTAGTCCCCATTGCCTAAAAAAAAAAAAAAACATTATCTAGAATAATGCTTTTGAGGCTGGAGAGATGGCTCAGTGGTTAAGAGCACTGGCTGCTCTTGCAGAGGACCCAGGTTCAATTTGTAGCACCCACATGATGCTAACAACTGTTAGTTAACTCCAGTACCAGGGTCTCTGACACCTTCTTCTGACCTCCAAGGGCATTGCATGACATGGGTGCACTTACATACATGCAAGCAATATACTCATATGCAAAAATAAAAACAATAAAATAAATATGAAAAAAATAATAATGGTTTTGAGTAAATGCAAAGATTTCTGAGTGGAAAAAAGATACTGGTCTGCATCTATTCTGGTATGTCAAATCAGATCAACTGCTTTACTATACATTATCTTATTTTTTAAATTTTTATATTATTTTTATGTGTATGAGTGTATTGCTTGCACATATGTTAAGTGCATCTGTGGCATGCAGTGCCCACGGAGGTCAAAATAGGGCATCAGATCCCCTGGAACTGGAGTTACTGGAGTTACAGACAGTTGTTAGCAACTATATGGGTGCTGGGGATAGAACTCGGGTCCTCTGCAGGAGCAGTCAGTGCTCTTAACCATTCAGTCATCTCTCTCCGGCCCCCATCATCTCATTTTTAAGAATATTTATATAGATTTTAAAAAGGGGGGGGGCAGGCCTGGTGGCACAAGCTTTTAATTCCAGCACTTGGGAGATAGAGGCAGGAGGATCTCTGTGAGATCAAGGATAGCCTGGTCTACATAGCAAGTTCCAGGCCAATTGGGGCTACAGGGAGATCTTGTTTCAAAAAGACAAAAACAAACAAAACAGAAAGCATCCCATTAAGCATAATTTTAAAAATTCCTTTTATTTATTTATGTGTATGAATGTTATGCCTATATGTGTCTAAGTGCACCCATGTTGTGCATTACCCATGGAGGAAAGAAGAGAGCATCAGATCCCCTGGAACTGGAATTATGGACAGTTGTCAGCTCCCATATAGGTGCTGGTGGTATTCAAACTCAGGTCTTCTGCAAGAACATCTAGTGCTCTTAACCACTGAGCCACCTCTCCAGCCCCTAAGCATAATTTTTTTGTTCAAATACATTAACTACTCTATCTTCAATAATCCAAAGTAATAGTTGGGCCTGGTGGCACAGATATGTAATACCAACTACTTGAAAGCTGAGGGAAAAGGTTCACAAGTTCAAGGTGAGTCCAGGCAACTTAGCGAGACTATAGTGCAAAACAAAAATTCCAAAGAAGGCTAGGCATACAGCTCAATGGTAAAATGCTTCCCTAGCATACACAAGGCTCTAAATTCAATCCCCAATATGTATGTATATATGTATACATATATATGGAATAAAGTAGTTTATTTCATAGCTTCAACATATAAAATGACTTTTCTAAGACACAAAAGTATCTGTTATTCTCTTTTTCTGCCCACATGTTTCTGAGACATTTGTGCTAACAGGCTCTCCAAGACAGGTACCCTACCTCTCCATGGTCACACATCTCTTCCTGTTCCACAGTATATGTCCAGAATCACTAGCCTCCCACTCACTCTCAACGGAGCAGCTTGCCTAGCAAGAAAGAGGCATCCAGAAAGCCAGGAGAAGAGGGTCTTTGAAAGATGGCAAGTGCTGTTTTCAAATAAGCTCAAAAGTTAAAGTCTTTAAGCAAAGCTGAGGACAATACTGTGGAGGCTTTTGTTGACCTTGATAGGAATAGCTGCTGTGGTGTGGTATGGTACGCTTGAGAGAATGGGAAGCAAGGAATCAGACTGTGAAAAGAGCCAGGCCTTTTCAACAACTGTACTACAAAGGAGAACAGGAATTTCCAACGGCTTTGTTTGTTTGTTTGTTTGTTTGTTTGGTCAGGTTTGTTTTGTTTTGTTTTCCTGTTTTTCAAGGGGAAAGAAACCATTGCAAGGTTAGATGCTGAGGTGAATGATCCAGTACAGAGGATAAAAGCTGATGACACAGGAGAAAACTGATGAGACAAGACCCCAAAGTAGGTGAGGGGGAAGGGATCAAGAACACAGTGGGGGGTTGGCCCTACCTGGGAGCAATAACAATCCACACAATAGAAGGGGCTGTAGATACAGGGAGATACTGACAGGTAGGTAGTCTACCGAAGCTGTTTCTCTAATGAAAATTCAAGACACATGGGAGAAAACGGAAACTGGGATAGTCCCAGAAGAAGCTAAACTAATGGCCGTGATGCCAGCATTCCACATTTGCCATCTGGCCAGCTACACGCCATCACAGAAAAAAACATGTCACATGTAAGACCAAGATCAGATCTTCTTTTTCCTGTCTTACACCCATTTCCCCCCTTCTACTAAAACATAAGCAGTCACTCACTGAAACCCTCTGTGGTCTGAGCAATAGAAGTAGACATTCAGCCTTGTCAAAATTTAATTGTTTCAAAGCTGCAAAAAGATTTCAGTCCTTTCTGAGGTCCCAAGACAGCAGCTCAAGTGGCTTTTCAACAGTTTTCTTAGTAATCCTGATATGCCAATATACCAAGGATAGTACTATTGTACCATCCAATCTAATTTCACCCCAAACCCAAAATGTATCCAGAAACTGAGAACCTGCTTGGTGACACAGACGAATATGATTTTAAGTGGTTCATCCCAGCTGTGCACATGCACACCTATAATGCTAGCCCTGGAGACCCGTAGGGCAGGAGAATTGGAAGTTCAAGGTTATTCTCAACTACAGAGTTAGAGGCCACCTTACCCTACAACAGACTCTCTCAAAAAAACCACCAGTGTCATCCCACTGGCCGAGGCTTGCGGCTTGACTTGCTCAGAGCTGGGTTAATTTGGAAAATCCAAGATCTTTCATCAGTTTCAAGGATTTTAATCCCATCTCAAAAAACCAAATTCAGTTGGTATATGCTGTTGGTTGTGTTATTTTCTGTTTTTGAAATTATTCATTGCTTTAGCCATTTCTATGATTTATTGTTTTATGCCCAACAGTAGTGGTCATATTCAGAAAAACAGCCAGCTTTTATCTTTCACAATAAAGTAGGCATGTCTCTTGTTTGCTTGTCAAGGGAAATAACTGTCTCCAAAAGTTTACAATCTTCTACTTGTTTTATTTCCCCAAGCTACCATTTCAGATATCTTCTGTAACAATAATAATACTTCCTCAAAAAAAAATCCATGGACAGGAGGATAACTTGCAAATAACATTACTCAGTCAAGTCATAAAACACTAAATTGTCTCAAGAAAGCTCTATAAAAGTAAAATATGTTACAGTAATATATTAAACAGCAGCCAGAAAGCATCCAGATACAGTCATTCTACTGAAATAAAAATGTACATAACACAAACTGTGCATGTGCATCTTGTGAAACAAAAATACCTTCAAGCCGCTGTAAAAGAATAAATAGAAAACAAAGTAAAACATCAGGTCCAACTAGGAGTAGCAATTATTATGTAAGAATAAAAATACAGGGCCAGAGAGCAATTTCTTTTTTTTTTTTTTTTTTTTGTCTTTTTGAAATAGGGTCTCCCTGTAGCCCCAGCTGGCCTAGAACTCATTATATACACTAGGCTAGCCTTGAACTCACGGAGATCTGCCTGCCTCTGCCTACCAAGTACTGGGATCATAGGCATGTGCCACCACACCCAGCTTACTTATCTTTTAAAAAATATTTTTATTAGCCAGTCACGCCTTTAATCCCAGTACTCAGGAGGCAAAGGCAGGCGGATCTCTGCAAAATCAAGATGAGCCTGATCTACACAGCCAGTTTCAGGCCAACTGGGCTCTACAAGGAGACCCTGTAGTGCTAGGGTTAAAAGCATACACCACCACATCTGGCCATTCTCTTCTACTTTCAACCTTAATTTGCAACTTATATACGAACAAAGAAGTTAAATTCATCAGTGGTAATACATGAGAATTTTTGAGACATTGAATGTATTTGTAGGCCTACACACAAGTCATTCAAAAATACTGATCCATGTTTGAAGAGATGGCTCAGCAGTTAAAAGCACTGGCTGCTCTTACAGAGGACCTGGGTTCAATTCCCAGCACCCACATGGTGGCTAACAACCGTCCATAATTCCAGTTCCAGGAGATCAGATACCCTCTTCTGATCTCTGTGGGTATTGCATGACACGGGTGCACTTACACACATACACACAAAATAAAAATAATAAGCAATAAAAAAAAAAAACCACTGACCCATGATTAAACTGCCTATGGCAGCTTACTTAAAACACTGGGAAGTTAGCTGCCTCATAACTAACAGTGAGGCTGATTATCAGAAGACATGGATGAGTACTCATAAGCAAGACTGAAAATATTTTTTTCCAAATTTAAAATAATTCAAAAATACTAGTCAATGTTTTCCTCATTATAATAAATATAATCTTGGTACAGAGCATATTTAAGGAGTGCAGTGCTCTCTAAGCTTTGCCAGTATGCCCCAGCAGAAGAAATTAGAATGACATTATTCCAATTTAGAAAGTTGCATAACAAGAAAATATATTTTAATTGCTGAGGGCAGAACACACCACCAGAAACAAGGAAAATACTGTGCCCATATCCCTTAGGCCCGTTCTGCTGCCCTGCTCACTGGACCAATAAGAGAAGCTGTGAATAATGGGAGAGAAAAGAGGATACAACAATCATAAAAATCCAAAATCTGAACTGATGGGGACATAACCATATCTGGAACAAGCAAATTAACTGTAGACTACTTTCCAGTTTCAACTTACATTTAAAATGGAGCAATCAAACACCTTAATTATTGCAGTAACTGTAACTTCAAAATATTTAGAAGGCAGGGCAGGTGTGGTGGTAGATACCTTTAGTTCCAGCACTTGGGAGAGGTAGGCAGATCTCTATGAGTTTGAGGCCAACCTAGTCAATATAGTGAGTTCCAGTCTAGCCAGGGATAAGTAGTGAGCCCTTATCCACCCCCCTCCAAAGGAAATATTTACAGAGCATTACCAAAAAGCTAAATGTTTCAGGGACTTCAAGAAGGCTCAGTAGGCAATGGGACTTGTCCTGCCAAGCCTGACAATCAGAGTTCAATACCCAGGACCCACATGGCAGAAGAGAGAACTGACTCCTGCAAGTTGTCTTTTGACCTCTACTTGTGCAGTGTCCACTTGAGCACACACACACACACAATCAATCTAATAAGTTTAAGTGAGTCCTTTGTGTCAATCAAAATGTAGTCAAATAATCTTTAAAACTGTGTCCTTAGTAGGGTGTGTTAGCCTACATCTGCCATCCCAACATTGGAGAGACTGAAGCAGGAGGATTTGCAAAGGGGAGAATAACCTGGAATAAACAGTGAGTTTGTGGCCAGCCTGGGCTACATAACGAGCCTATGTTTCAATACAAAACCAAAAAACCCACAAACAAAACACCTACATGCCTATAAAATGCTGATTAAAAAAAAAAAAAGTCTTTTGAAAACTTACTTCTCATATTAACATCTATAGGATTTACACTGGCAGCATGGACTTTGATAATCACTTCATTTGGATAGTGTATGATAGGTAACATCATGTTCTGAGTGAATCGAAGGACTTCATTTTTTCCATATTTATCTATCACCCAAGCGGGCATGACAGTGCTCCTGGCAGAGGTTGTATTAATCTTTCTAAACGAAGGCTTCGGGATAACTTTGCTTCTCCACAAGCAAGCCGCAATACGTGTATTTCTTTTGAGAAGGCAAGTCTTTAAAACTTCCATTGCCAAGAGTGTCGCAATTGCGTCCTCCAATAAAACACACTTGGCGTGATCAAACACTCACTCTTCAATTCGGTCAAATTCTGCAAAACATACTAGTCAATTCATGCAACGGAAGGAAGAAAATGGAATTGCTGTTCTGTCCGCATCAGAAATGCTCCGAGTTGCGTTCTGGTCAGTTCTCTGTCCATTCCCCTTCCATTCTTACACTCTCCCTCACCTTAGAAGAAAAAGTTAACTCGCAAGGAGCCCTCGGCCGGACGCGCCCACAGTTCGCAGTCCCAGGCTGAGCAGACTCGAGCTTCGGATTCCGGATCCCTGTCCGCAGTCTCCTTGTGGCTCTGTGATAGACGCGAACCAATCGCGTGCAGAGATCAAGTCCCCAGCCTGAAACTCGACCAATCCGAGGGCTCGGTGTTGAAGAAGCTTGTGACTATCAAAGATGGCCGCGCCCATGTAATACCGGCAGCGGGCGCAGACCTCTCCGAGTTCTCCCGGCCCCGGTGACCGCGTCTGAACCTGAGGACTATGCTGGGCCGGACTCTTCGAGAAGTGAGTGGACGTGGACTGGAGGGTCCCCGGGAGGGCGAGCGCGTTGGCGGACTCCGGTGGTCCGGGCGGCCCCTGGTCTCACCGCGCAGCTCGGTCCGCCTGCGCCCCTCCTTTTCTGATCTGGATGGGGGATGCGAGTCTTTCAGCCCTTGGGCTATTTGCTCCATACCCGGGAGTGAGGGTGTCAGGAGGGAAGATACCTGCACCGCCGAGCAGTGAGGTGGAAGTGTACATCCGACATTTGCTCAGGCTTGGAACGCTTTGGGGATGCTTTCTTCAAGTGGCCATTTCAATCCTCTTCCAGCTACTGCGGTTCTCGCTTAGGGGCGGGGCGCGTTTATAATGTGTAGAACTCACCTTAATAGTTAGTGGCTTAAAACACTACGTTCTCAGGTATCAGTTACCACCAAGACAACTATGGCCCCTTACCACTGCCATAGACCTGGAGGCCATAGACCCCAGCTGCATAAACTGTGGCTCAGGAACACATATGTAGAGAAGGCAGAAAATTTGGCAACACTAAAAGGTTTCAGAAAGCACAGTGACCAAAGTCAATTCAACGTCAAAGGCCTAGTGAATCTAAGGTGTTTCTGACAGTGCTCACCCGTGTTGCGCCCGACCCGACTGCACTGCAGCCTTGGTTCAGAACACAGAATAAATAGACTGTCCAACTAATGCTGCTCGAAACACCTCAGATTCGAGTCTATTGTGTCATGATTTGTAGCGTTTTGTTTTGTTCTTACTATACATACAACTTTTCAGCAATTATAGAAACATAATTACAGAAAGCAAAGACTATTTTCCTATCGTTAATTCCTCAGCATGTATGTTAGAATTCGGGATGAGAAGGCTGTGTGATGAAGTAGAAATGGACTCCGTCCTGCAACAGATGCAGATAACTTTATTAGCCACCAAGGTCAAGCAGCCTTCCCATGGGGAATGGAGGTTGGGCATTCAGGCTGGGGGACGTCTGATATTTATAGGTGGGCCCAGAAAATCCCAAAAGGGGGGTCGTGCCTTCCCGCAGTCCCAGAAGGTGGGGTGTGCCTTCTTGGGTGGTGTCCTGCTCCTTCCCGGGATCTGGGAAGGAGAGATGGAGAGTTCTGGTTGATTAGGAACTAGAGCTACAAGGAGGCTGATAAGAAACCACATGACTTTTGCTAGGAGCCTTGTGTTCTGAAATAGATATATCTACCTCCAGGCTGAGGGGGTGCAGGGTAGGCGGATGGTCAGTTCCTTCAGCCATTTGTCACACTGACTTTCCTTCATCATAAGTATCAAAGTAGTGTATCTTTGGATTGTATTGTGTTGAGAGTGCTTGATTTTTTTTTT